ATTGGCTTCTCAATATATATATATATATAGAGCCACGCCATCAATCCTCGTGAACTCCCCCTTCCTCTTTCCGATTCTTCAGATTTCAGGGAGATCTCAGCCGTCCTTTTTCAAATTCATGTTGGGTTTATCCTCTCCTTTATTTAAAATTATTTATTTGCATATCGGATTTATTTAATATTAATTTATTAGATCAGTCCTCTTCTTCCTCCGCTCCCCCAGCTCTCTTTCTCTCTCTCTCTCTCACACACACAGCCATTCACGATTCTTTCTACCTCTTCCACTCCTCACTCATCCATGGCTACAGCAGAGGAGAGAAACGCCGCAGAGGAGAGCAACGCCGCATCCAATCCAACATATGATGAGGTGATCAAAACCTGATCTTGTACTTCATGATCTGTGCTTCGATTTCAGCTGGGATGAAACAAAAGACGATTTTGAGCTGAATTTGGGGGGACTTACTGTTTTTATCTTCTTGCAGATGGTTCTGGCTGCAATCACGGCGCTCGGAGAGAAGGAGGGATCGAACAAGTCGGCTATTACCAAATACATCGAGACAACCTATGCCGGCACGTTGCGCGAGGGCTACACCGAGGAGATCTCGGAGGCGCTGAAGAGTTTGAAGGAGAGAGGTGAGCTGTTATTTGCAAATGAACTTTATATAAAACTCGAACCGAACTCGGCGGCGCGCAGGGGACGGGGCCGACCAAGAAAGTCCGAGCGGACGGTACCGCCTGGAGCGCTGCCACCGACTCCGCGGCCCCGTGGACGGCCGCCGAAGAAGAAATATCCCCAATCAAACGCAGTAAATGCCGCCGATGGAATCCCGCGCCGCCGTGGCCGGCCGCCGAAGCCGAAGGATTCCCAATCAAACGAAGTAAAGGCCGCCGTCGGAGGTATCCCCCGCCGCCGAGGCCGGCCTCCGAAGCCGAAGGATTCTAATGCAGCCGCAGTGAAGGCCGTTGGAGGAACCCCCCGAAGCCGTGGCCGCCCTCCGAAGCCGAAGGATTCTAATGCTGCCTCAGTGAAGACCGTCGCAGGAACTCACCGCAGCCGTGGCCGGCCGCCGAAGCGGAGGGATTCTAATGCCGCCGCAGTGAGTTCCATCGGGGGAACTCCCCGCAGCCGTGGCCGGCCGCCCAAGCCGAAAGTTTCTAATGCCGCCGCAGTGAATACCCTTGGAGGAACACCCCGCAGCCGTGGCCGGCCTCCGAAGCGGAGGGATACTAATGCAACCGCAGTGCAGATCGTCGGAGGAGCTCCCCGCAGCCGTGGCCGTCCGCCGAAGCGGAAGTATTCTAATACAGCCGCAGTGAAGACCCTTGGAGGAACTCCCCGCAGCCGTGGCCGGCCTCCGAAGAGGCATCGGCCCGTGGTCTCTAGCGCTTCTACGGTTGTGGAGAAAGGCAATGCGACCGCGACGGCAACGGCAGTATCCGGGGTGAAGCGGAGGAGAGGTAGGCCTCCGAAGCTGAAGCCGACTATAGCAGAAGATTGATTTTGATTGATGGGGGATTACGGTTTGCGTGATTTGTCAATGAAACCCGACTCACTTGTTCTTCATTCTGATTTGGCGGAAGTGCGTATGCCATTATGTAAGTGCTTTAGGATTCTGTTGCATCAAAGTTTAGGGTTTTGGCGCACAAGATGCGTTTTTTTTACTGAAGCTGACCGATTTGATCACAGTGTGAATTCTCTCTTCTTCGCTTGTTCAAAGCATCTTACTTTTGTGACTGCCATTTATGTCTCTTACGCTTGTCCAAAATGGAACTCAGGATGGACAAAAATTGCTTCCGTTTCATCTGAGAATTTCAAGAAAAAATGGGTGCTCCCTTGGCTGCCATGATTTTGGCCGGAGGTTAATCTGGACGCACCACGTCACTCGGGGCTCAGTGCATCCGGTTGATGTGGCGCGTCCGGATTCGCCTCCAGACAGTCCAGACACCACACGTAATAATCTATGGTCGAGATGACCATCAAGGGGCCAGTAGGTGAATGTAAACCATTCATCATCGTCTATAGAATAGCTTTCTTAATTAAGAGACAAACTGATGTAGAACAAACAAGTTAGTACCAAACTTTTGATTATTCCTTTCCCTTCAAAGGTAGTAGTATATAGAGCAACATATGGGCAAATAAAATAGATTCTTAATGTATCGCCCTACTTGCATAGTAGCTATATAATCCAACATCTAACGAAAATTGGACCTAAAAAGAAAACTATTCATACCAGACAGTAAGGAAAATGTAACAACCTAAAGTCTCAACTATTGAGATATAATCTGCTTCAGCTTAAGGGCCTTATAATTTTGTCATGTTAGTGTAATTTCTCAAGAGGTTATCCATCACATAATTTTTTTCAGGATGAGCACGTTTAACTGTGGAGTTTCTTAATAAGATTCTAACAATTACACTAAAATGCATTTTGATGTTTAAGAGTTTAGCTTTTTTGTTTTTTTTTTACTAAAGGGTTTTAGAGGAAAAATGATTGAGAAAGAAAAGTCACATTGAAAGAAAAGGTGTCCATGATTTTCATTGGATTGGGAACCGGCTCCCAACATATGCATGAGTTAGCATTGAGAGAAATAGAAGAGTTAGAAATGGCATAGCTAATTGCTTGAGAGAAGTAGGCAGGAATATTCCAACAATTGTTCTCAATACAGCTCACTCAAGCTGAATGAAAGGCAGAATAAATGTGGATCTATAATTTCAAGTAAAGCCTTGCCATCAAGCCAAGGGTCCCATATCAAAGCTAAAGAGGATTTAGGGGTGATGGTGAGCGAAATTTTATTTTTAATATTTCTAGCAGTGGTGTAAAGAAATTTCCAATATTTTGAAGCTTTCGATGGGAGAGGCTTCCAAATGTATGAGTATTTACATTTAACCTAATTGGATAGCAGATAGCGATCGTTGAGGAGTCACCAAATAAGAGAACATACATAAACAATCATTAAGGAATTAGTGGAAGAAAGTTGTAGCCCTCCAAAACGTTTAAGGCAATAAATATTTTTCCAAGAAATGGTGTGAAGCTTTTTGAAAGTAATATCTCCATGAAAAAGAAACTTAGAGCAAATTTTATTGATAAATTGCTACGGGTCTTAGAGAGAAGAAGACCTCTAATCTAGTAGACTAACGTATTGCAAATGGTGTATTTAAGGTATTGGAGCCTACTAGTAAAAGATAGTGTTTTAGCTTTCTATCCAGCAAGAAGGTCAGAAATTTTATTTAGGAGGAGCTAATAGTGAGAGATGATGAGACATTTTGCAGAGATGGGGAGCTTGAGATACTTCAAAACATTACTAAAGGGGTTCGTGCTCAAAATATTACAAATATCATTAGAGAATTACCAACCATTAAAGAAAATAACAAAGTTCTTATTGTGATTTACGTGTAGACCATAGTAATCAGCAAATTGCTTTAAGAGATCCCTAAGTTTCTTAGCAGTATCAACCTTGTCTTTCCCAAAGACAATCAAATCATCAGCATATAATAACTAGAATAATTTTTGAACTCTTGAAGAAATGCTCATGAAAGAAACATGACCAGTTGCATCATCCAAGATATTTGAAAAAAATAGCCATGATGATATAGAATAAGTACGAAGATAAAGGACAACCTTGTAGTAAACCAAAAGTAGATTACAAAAATCTCTCTAGAGCACTATTAAAGTAAATAGATACCCTCCAATCTAGGATGAACATGTTAGGGAAACCCTTCTGAGCTAGCCTTGTGAAGAGGAAGGTATAACGTTAAATTCTTTATGGATATCAAATTTAGCATAGATTTATTTTTTACAACATAAGAATTAAATTCCTCCAATAATTCAGAAGCTAATAAAATATTGTCAGATGAAATTCTGGAGTGAATGAACTCGGCCTTAAGTGAGTTATACATGGCATAATGTGTTTCACCCAGTTAGCAAGAATTTTAGCCATTGTCTTATAAAAATTAATTTTAAAGGGAGATGAGCCTATAATAAGCAATGTTAGAAGAGTGATTACTAATAGGAATAAGTGCAATAGTAGTGGCTTTGGAACACCTAGGAATAGAGCCTATTTGGAAGAAGTATTTGACCGTCTTGCATAGATGAGTTCCCATGATATCCCAAGTGCTTTTGAAAAAACTCAAATGTAAACCCACCATGGCCTTGAGCAGAGAAAATAACATGTTTGATGTGCTTATTAGTGACATAAGCAACCAGGGATGAGATGAGGTGAGATGGGATAGTATTATCAGCATGGATTTGAGTGGATTTGGAGAGAGGAGGCTTAAGGGAATTGAAGAGAAGTTTCAAGTGATTAATAATAGTATTCGAGTTGCTTTTAGAATTGTAGTGAACTCCTACATATGAGGTAATTTCATTATTCAAGTTTTTGTTATGCTTAGACCTGATCCTAGCATAAAGGAACCCCAGGTCTTCATCACCACAGGATAGCCAGATGGCTTTGAATCTTTGAGAAATCCAAGACACCAATATAGAATAACAATGGTTGAGCTAGTTAACATCCTTTATGGAGCCAAAAAGATGAATATAAAGAGGGTTAGATTGAATTTGTTGTAAGAATAAGTTAGACTCTGATAGAGGTTGGCAATGGATTGGATATACATTGTGTTGGAAGAAGCCCAACTTTTGGTTTTTATAGCCTTTTTAAGCTTTTGCAGTATAGAGTACATATCAACAATAGGGCACCCAGAGGTTTGAACAGTATAAAAAGAAATAAGGGCATCTCAAAACTCAATTTTTTGCACCAAAAGTTTTTAAATAAGAATCTGTGATTTTTTTTTAGTGTGGGATTACAACAAAGCATAATAGAAATATGATCAAAACACCTTGAGTTTTCAACTTTATAAAAAGAAGAGGGGGCCAGCTTGATCAGGCATGAATCTTGAGGTATACATGAATTGGAAATCTCTCAAATCAAATTTTAGACCATATGAACTCCAATTTCAACAAACTTATAGTCAAACTTAATGTCTCAAAGAGATGAAACTAATAACATCAAAGTTGGTCTAATCCGAACCCAAATGAGCTTAAGTTAAAGGATTGAAACATAATGAGAAGCTTTAGAACAATAATTAGATGATCAAATAATCTCCAAATATAGCATTCTTATAGTAAATGATCTCCGAACATAGCATGTTTATAGTCGAATCGAGCTGCTCGATGAGATAAATCCAATGTGTCCAAGATTGCTTAATTATAATATCATTAAGTTAGTTAAATGCTGAAGAAATGCTTCATGGCCGTCTAAGAGAGCACTCTGAAATTGCTCAGAATGTTCTCCATATTTATAGGGTATGCCACTCCAAAAAAAATCTATAAATAGACCCTCACTCTCTACATGAAAGGGGACATTTTGAAGACGCTTGGACCTTGGGTTAGATGTTATGAGAGCTCTAAGTCTTGAAGAATCTCAGAGCTCTACTTGAGCACCACCGTCGACAAACCCTCACTGCCATTAGAATTTCAATGTCTGCAACCACTATATCGCCAATATCTAGCCTTTCATCAACCAACCACCGTCCCTTAAACCATCATTGCTCGATTATAGTCCCTTCGACCAAAGCGGCCTAACTATGATTCTTATGACCTTCATTGCTCCTCGACTACGGTCTTTTCGACCAAAGTGGCCTAACTATGGTCCATTCGATCTTAATCTCCTGACTATAGTCCATCCGACCTCTGTCGCACAACATCGGTCCCTCAGACCACCATCACCCAATGACGATCCCTTCGATCACTGTCACCAGACTATGACCTTTGCATCCATCGTTGCTGGACTACGATCTCTGCAACCATCATTGCTGGACTATGGTACCTCCGACTTAAGTTGCACAACTATGCTCCCTCCAACCACCATAACCTACTAACTATGGTCCCTTCAACCTCTATCACTTGACAACAATCCCTTCGACCGCTGTCGCTCGACTATTATCACTTCAGCCTATGTCATATGTCGACTAAGGTCCCTCAGAGCTTCCTTGCCCGATAATGCTCCCACTAATCATAATCACCAGACTACAGTGCCTGCAACCACCGTTGACCGACTATGATCCCTTCGACCACTGTCGTTTGTTGACTACGGTCTCTCCTACATCCATCGTCCGACAACGATCTCTCCGACCTCCATCACCCGACAACGAACCCTCTGACCTCAATTGCTCAAATGAATCGATCATGTGATAAACTGCTCGTGTTTCTGCTCGATTATTACTCGTTTGTGATTATTTGATTAAGTAATAAAATAAGCTTACACAGTTTCTTAAACGCTCGATAGTTAAATAAACAAGTTTGAACAACTATATGTTCGCCTCGTTTATGTTTATAAACATCATTTAAAGCTCGTGAACAAGTTCAATATGAAGCTCAATAATAAGGTTATTAAAAAGCTTGATTCATATTTATTTGGAACTAAATAGTTTTATTAGGATTGGCTTAAATCTTTAGTTGATATACTTTCTCACAATTTTTAGTTTTATTCTAATAAATAATTCTTATTTTATGATAAATTAATTTCATTTTTTATATTATAATATTTCATTATAATGAATTTATTCATGTGCAAGATGTATTTATTCATGCTTGCTCGATTGTTTATTTAAAGTATTCATAAATTTGAATTTATAAATAATTGTTTTACAGGTGCTTAGCTGCTTAGCCCCCTAGTTAAATAAAAGCATGGCCGAGTTTTATAAACAACTAAAAAATGAGTAATTATTATGTAATGAGATTTTAATG